ACAAAATGCTCTTGCCTCACATCGGACTCGCTGAACATTGATACGTACTGTGTCAGAAACAGGGCACGGCGGTTGAGCAAACTGCCCCATCACTGAACTCGTTTTTGGCTGCGAAATTCTGGCCATCCATAAGCCACCTTACGTTCACATTTTGAAATCGTCCTAAGTGGCCGGGAAAAAGTTTATTGGTTGACTGAGTATCTACTGATATTCGCATATATGAGGGTCGTCAGTCAGCGGGAGGTGCATGAACGCCATTGCCTTCACTCGACGAGGTTCGCGTAAACTCGTTAACGTGTGCGATTACCGGACGGAGCGAGGTTGCAAGCAGTCGTTCGGCTTGTGTAAACTCTTCTCCATGTAGGAGTATGGACAGTTCAACGGATATGAACGACATATCAATGTACATATATAGGCATCCCGAACGAAGAGAATAATTCACATAGACATTTAATTACGATGGATTCACATGTATCTTCTCAGGGTAAAGCAAATGGAGACCGGGAAAACTCGTCAACTATAGTAAGGACGTATCGGTTTGGAGTAACAGAAGTCAGAGGTCCTTTAAACTCGACGCTAATTCGTTCGAATGGTTGAGTCACTTTGATGAGCGTAGCGGAAGGTGGTTTGTTAAACTGCTGTTTGGTGGCGGCACAAACCGTGCATTATGCGGTGATGTCTGACATTTTGGAGGGAAAAATCAAGTTTTTGGAAATAACAAAGTGACGCATGCGAGTAATTCCGTGATGGCACAAGGAATAATGAATTTCTTTTAATTTGTCATTGTCGATCACATTGGTGCACAAGTTACGCGATAAGGTATGAGCCACCAGATTGTCTTTTCCAGGTCTGTAGCTGACGTCGTAGCTACAAGCGGGAAATTCCGTTGAGTCACTTGATGAGCGTAGCGGAAGGTGGTTTGTTAAACTGCTGTTTGGTGGCGGCACAAACCGTGCATTATGCGGTGATGTCTGACATTTTGGAGGGAAAAATCAAGTTTTTGGAAATAACAAAGTGACGCATGCGAGTAATTCCGTGATGGCACAAGGAATAATGAATTTCTTTTAATTTGTCATTGTCGATCACATTGGTGCACAAGTTACGCGATAAGGTATGAGCCACCAGATTGTCTTTTCCAGGTCTGTAGCTGACGTCGTAGCTACAAGCGGGAAATTCCATTTTTCATAACGGGTTTTCGTTTTTTATCTTACTTTTCTGAGACACCGTACATAGAGGAAACCAACTGCTGGTCGGTGATATGCTTGAAGTGTTTCCCGAAGAGATAATGCCTCTATTTGCGGATGGATTCAACGATAGCGTATGCTTCTTTCTCAATAACGGTGATTTTCGCTCGGCGTCAGTGTTCTAGAAAAGAAGGCCACCGATAGGCCGTTCTGAATCAGAAATGCAGTGATGGCTATGTGTGAGGCGTCCGTCTCAACAACCAAAGGTGCATTGTAGTCGACTGCCACAACGATAGCGTTCTATACCTCGAAGGACTCTTGACGGTTTATTGTACACGGTCCCGTAAGGGGATGTCTTATTTCTGACAAGCACACTGATTTGTCAGAGAAGTATGGTATCCATTGCGAATAATAAGCAAACATGCCAACAACTTGTTGTAGGGATTTAGCGTTATGTGGATGAAGGAATTGACGAATTGACTCATTCGTTCAGGATCTGGTTTGATAATTCCTCCAGGGCCTTCATAGTCGAGAAGGCGTTTTCGTTGAGCTGCTATGATGCCTTTCGTGCAGTTAAAAGTAATCCTATATTTTTTATTACTCCATAGAAAGATTTGAGGTTCTGGTTGTGCTCACTTTGGGTAGTCCCTCAAATACTGACGTCGATGTAAGCGTACGTGCCACCCAATTTCTCAGGCTCGATTATGTGGTAAATAGTGTGTTGAAAGCATACTAGTCCGTCGGTAGCAGCGAAAGGTGTACGATGGAATTGAAACAGTTCTCTGCATGTTTCAAAAGCCTTATACGGTTTGTATTCCTCACTGATTGGAACTTGGCAGTAAGCACTCAATATGTCTAAGGTGCTAAAGACAGCAAGACGGGAAATTTCCTCAATCATTTTGTCCAATCGCGGTAACGGATACGCGTCTAGATATGTGAATCGGTTAATGGTCTGACTGTAGCCCACTACCATGTGTCTTTTGTGGTTTGAATTTTTCGTGACCAGTGCTTGAACCCTCTGGCGAAAGAATTCGGAGGTTCCATCATACTTTCATCCAATAGTCGGTTAACTTCAGAGCGGGTCAGCTGTTCATCGTCTGGGCTATAACACCGTGATTTAGTGGCGATAGGCTTACAATCGAGTGAGAGGTTAGCAAAAGGACGAGGTGATTCGACCGTAGCAGCACTTAGACCGCAGGGGGCAAATAGACCTAGGTTCGCACTGAATGTGATTTCAACTTTGTTATGTAAACCAAGAAAGTCGTGGCCTAGCAGCACGTCAACATGTAGATTGCGCAACACCAATGGCCTGATGTTTTTATACACAGTACCCCTGTAATCGATGGATGCGTAGCAGTAGCCACTAGTTGAACACGTCAGAGAGGTAGATACTATGGTAATCACAGAATCGTTAGCACATATCTTCCAGCGATGTGTAACGACTATCAAAAGAGATACATGTCCGAATTTCCTGTGTATATGAGGGCGTGAAGTGATATTCCGTTTATCTTTATGCTGGTTATCGTACGGGTCAATGAGTGCGGGGCTGCAGCAATCAACAGGGGAGATAAAGCAGAATCAGTCCTGCAATTTGAGTGATTTTTGACAGATTTGGATCGACAAACACTCAGTGAATGGCCTGTTTTGCTACATGGTTTACAAACTGTTTTCTCTTGCGAGCATTTGGATCGTGAATGCCTGGAAAGACCGCCAAAATAACATACCTAGAAATTGCTTGACGAGAGACGAAGTGTGGAATTAAGGGAGATGGAGTAGGTGCTTCAGCTGCAGAAAATGATATCAGGTGGTTATGCGAGTATACAGAGCTTATTTGTGGGTCTATTCTGGTGACCTAGCCATTTCATATGCTTCATCGAGAGTGAGTTCATTTTGAACCAGAATTCTTTATCTGATGGTAGTAGACTGAAATCCGTTGATCAGTGCATCATGTGCACTTTCGTTTTGATGGTCATTAGTGGACATCGCCTTGAAATCACAACTTCTGGTCAAGCACTTAGGCCTTCGAATAAACCGATCGACATCTTGATTGGTGTGTTGCTTGCAAGTTTATAGAAGATGACGAGCATAAATCATATTCTTGAGATGAACGTATAACCTTTCAAGTGTACTGATAGCGGATTCGTAATCGGGATAGTCATTGATGTAAACGCATACAGGTGCATCCTCAAAATGGATCAATGTTTCGATTTTTTCTAGATCGGGTGATTCGACAGTGCCCAGAAACGTTTTGAAGGTCCGGAACCAATGATTCTAACGCGTTGTGGCATCTGGAGAATTTCGATCTGCTCGCAGCAACCGTTCCATTGTATTCCTAGACAAGTGAATTGGTGCGAATGGAGTATTGATCCCGATTGGGCACGAGAACAAGGCTGAATGAATGGACGTACATAAGGTGAAGGTGAAGGCGAAAGCATGGGTAATACGAAACGACAATATAAACATGAAGGATAATCATGACATTGCAATACCTCTGAGTGATTGTGGTAGGCTAGCATTAGGTCTCTTCCTCATCCTTTTCCATCTCTTCATTCACAATGAGCTTCTCTAGTAGATTGTGTTTGACAGTGCAGCGTCAGTGTTGAACACTGATGTTATGCTTTCGGTGCTGATGGTGACTGCAAATCAGTTGGTGCATTGGGGTTGATCATCACCATCATCAACACGATCAGCCTCGACAGCCATCGTCATCCCCCGTCCTTCATCATGATCGTGGCCGATAGGGTGACCACCTTTCTGTTTGATCCACTCTGGCGAGACATGAGAAACAGCACTTTCGGCTGACGGTGACTTGCATTTAGAACACACGAACAACAGTGTCTTGAAGTGCTGCATACATTCTTAAGTGGAATCCGCTATATCTCTTTACCTTCCCTGATGATACCGGGTTGCAGTCAGACGACAAGAAGGCCGGAAAAACTGTGTAATGATGCAAATAGAGTTCTATTTAAATCATTCACTTGTGACCGTGTATGATGGTTGATCTGCTCTCAACCAGCGAGTGTGTCTCCTGCACGCCCACACCGGTTCTCGAGCGGTTGTTTCTTTGTCGCTGGTCGTCTGTGCGCTTATATACGGAGCGCACACGTTACCTTGGTCATCGGATGGGCGTGAAATGCATGTGTACATTTTCAACCTTTCACCGGCACACGATGGAATCGGATGTGATTCAGACTTATGGGCGTACTCGCACCGCACTGTTTCACCACATGATTGTTCCACTGCGCAGTAAGCTGATGCATGGCCGTATTAGAATTCATGTTGCACAGCCGAACACTCATTCCTTAATAGTGTATTTACAAATTCGTTGACATTGGTCCGTTCTACTCGTGATTGTGTGACAACCATTATCTCCTCTGCCTCTCGCAAAGGCCACATTTCAGCCCCTCCACCATTCATCATCATCAATGACAGCAACATCAGTGTTGGCACTGGTGCTTCACTGCCGTACACCACTCCACCATTGTAATTTTCTGGAGCAGTTTTCTATCTTTGGTTCGTGTGGCGTCATTGTCCTTACAGTTGTTTCTTCCATCAATGGTGATCGTGCTATTCGGTTGCACATTTTTAAGCGAAATTCCTCATCACTTATTTTTCAGCTTTCATGCACTGATATCCTCGCTTAAGTGACCATATGCCTCATTTCATGATGTTTGGTGGCCTACGTGGACAGATGTTTGGTTCCTCATCTCCAGTCTTGCGAACATCGTGGCTGCTTGGAAATCGGTGCCCATTCTCCGTGAAGTCCAATTTCTCTCTTGAGGTAAAGGCGTTGTATGTTCATTGATTATCGTATAGGATGTGGTCATCCTCGGGGTTTCGCGGACACCTATCGGATCATTTCAGAAGAGTCTAGCACCGTGCTCCGCCCCCGTTCTTGGTTCTTTCGCCATCCGTGGAGCTTTGAAGCAGGCTAAAATCGATCCGAACGCCGTACAAGAATGTTTCATGGGTGTGGTTGGTGTTCTTTAGTCAACATTTCCCCATTACTAGGTTGTTTCTGCCGGTTCGAAACAAGCTCCTGTTAAACAGGCCGCTTTAATGGGTGGTCTGAGTTTGTCGACTCCATGCACAGCTGTCAACAAGATTTGCGCCAGCGGGATGAAATCCATCATGCTGGCTGCCCAAAGCATCGCTTTGGGCCACCAAGTTAGTCTTCATTTTAATGTTGTGCACCCAAGTAATATGTTGACTATCCATTGGTTCAGATATCCAACGTTAGCGCTGCAGCTATATTATCATTATGCCATTTAATCTGAACTCGATGCTTCATAGAGACCCTAAATTCAGTTAACACCATTCGTTATAGGCGTTGTTCCGTGGAGACAGACAGGCTTGTTGTCGCCCCATGCTCTCAGTTAGTGGCATTCTGGGGGCGCTTCTAGGTTTATGATACTCACGGGCAGTTATGACACTGGTAGACAACCGCCTTTGATTGGAACATTGAGTAAACTGGAGAACAAAGGGCACCTATGTTAGTGGGTTCGAGAAATGCGCTTTCAGTGCTGACACTGCACATTTACTATGCATAGGCAAGTGCCGTAATAAGTTTAGGAGCTCGAGATGGCTTAGTGGTTAGAGCGCGAATTTACTGACCGGAAAGTCCGTGATTTGAACCTTATATCTGCATCTCGACTGCTTCTGTCTAGGCAACCTGGTAGTATCTCAGCATTCGTGATTCTTTCAGGTGGCATGGCAGCTAAGCATTGGACAGGTGTTACAGCTGAACGTAGTAAATTTGGCAACTGTCTAAAACAGCTGTTTACCAGGTACGATATTCAGTCCTATGGCGCATATAGCATGCCTAGCCGGGGGTCGTGCAACCAAACTTTTGTATGTGGAGGCAAATACCATATGGAAGAGAGTTGTACTATACAAGTTCACTAAGTTGCGAAAGATTTTTGACTCTCACGTTCCCCAGCTTGTATGATGAAGGTTTAGTTAAAGTTACGCCATGGTTTTCAGTATCCAGCATTGATTTGGTGCCGTTGGTGACAATACGGTGATTTTAAACATATTCAATCTTCCCCTCATCCTACTCAACGACTCTGAGTCGCACGTAGTGCTATTTCTGCGTACTTTTTGAGGTCCCTATACATTGTCGGAGTAGATTGAATCCTAACCATCTTCTCTTGAAATAGTCTATCGGTCAAATGTATGTCGTATGGTAGTATCTGTGTGGAAGAATGTTATGATTCAATATAACCAGTATTTGTGCTGAATAACAGAGCGTCATCTGTGCGGGAGGTATGGAAAGCATGTCGAACGCTCCATTCTACCTCGCGCGTCAAATGCCTACATACGGTGGAGCTCAACTCTTGGACTCTGTTGTTTGGGACGGACTGACGGATTCCAAATATGGAATACACATGGTGAGTAGATATGTTCGACTGCGTGTCAGAACACTTCGATTTAGTCTTTTTGTTTATCTTCAGTATACACTTCATTGCATAGTAGGGGTATACTAATGTCCCCACATATCCTTACATGTTAATATGAAGTATGACATACGTGTACTACAAATATATACAAATATATAATAATATAATATA